TTTATCTGAATCGAAAAAGTTGAACTGATCCGATAGCATCCGTAATCACAACTGCAAAGGTTTTTTCGATACGTAAGATGTGGTCCGATGCATCACTTATAAAGCCGGTCATTGTGTTAGTGTGGGATTTTCAAAAATTGCTTATTTGAAACGGAAATAAATCCCAAATTTAATCGTTCGGATTTCTTTGTTCATCGAGATGAATATCTTGTTTTCAGCAGGGTCAAGATTCGAAAGTTCGTACAATGAGCGAGATGGGCGGTGGTGTCGCAGCTAACGCAGCGTTACCATCTGCAAAGGAAATACGAACACTGAAAGAAACCGTTCAGGATTTGCAGGTAGGTCATTCTCGTTGATTGCTTTATCTGTTCGCGTGGTCTTCACTGATATATCTCTAAAGTTGTTCAGCACTAATCAGTCACATCGTTGTGTCAGAACTTTGATGATTTCAGAAACAGCTGCAAGAGATGTCATTCAAACAAGAACACTTAACGAGACAGGTTGACGGACAACGACAAATGTCACACGCCATCTCGCAACCAGCCATTCATTCTGGTAGTTTTTATATTATTACCGAATTGCTGCGTTCGCGCTGAAATTTGTGTCAACTTTTTTTTGCGTCGGTGCTGAGCATTGAAATAAGTTTGCGTTCAATGATAGGTCACTATTATTGAATAGTTCAGTTATATGAGAGTGCGTTAGACAGAATATGTCGATTGCATTTAAAAGTATTTTCTTCTGATCGATTGTCGTAAAAAAAAGATTTTTGATGGAAATGTTCTGATATTATCTTCATTCTTCACGTGGTAATTCGCATTTATTGAGGAGGCATTGGTGCTAGATGATGAGAAGAAAACGATGCAACGTTGCATAGTGACTGTGAATGGGTCCAAATTTCATTTAACCAGAACAAGAAATAATGCATTATTTTTGCCTAACAATAAGATTTCTTCAATTTGAAATTCTCCTCTCGTCTCCTCAATTTGATTCAAATCTTAATGTGTATAAAAATTAAGATTTGATGTATATGCAAGATGGCGCGTCAGCGTCACAAAATCCATATGCTACATTACCGCATAATATTGCCAAAGAGGTCTTATTACAACAACTCCAACAACCGCAACAGTCGCCACATACCTATCCACAGCCCTATGCTCCACAACTCGATCATCAATCCAATATTTATCAGTCACCAAATCAACAAATTCCATTCTGCATCACTCAACAACAGGTTCTTTTTTTAATGTCTGAAGTATGCAA